AGAAACACATTTTCCAAATGTTTACATTTTGTCTTCTCGAAACCTCTTGAAATTTTACAATCGCAATTTTCCTCAAAGTTCCCCACACCCACACCACGCCCCCCGAAAGGTTGAATGCCCAGGATCAAGTGCCGCCATATAACTAGCTTACGTTATATGATAGCTCCTCATCCCCATGTCCATCCACCCCCACTCACTAACGAGTGGACTTTAACCTTATGCATTTGGCAATCTCATGATGGGCAATCTGCATAAAATGTTTTATAAAACCCCTTACTTTGTTTCAGTCTTCCGACTTTTAAACCTTTTTGTCTAATGTGTGTTTCCTAGCCTGACTTTGCGTGGTGGTTCCCTACCCTAATCGTTTATCTTATATTTGGTGAATTGGGCGCCTGTACTTTATTCTTCCGAAGCGCGGGTCTTGATTTAGTTGTCTATCAGTCAGGTCGTGCTTGATAAATCTATTTGGGATTTACCATGGGGCGTTTACTGCCATTCTTATTGAGACATTTAGAAATGCCTGTATTCGCTTTTTGAATGTTTCTGCCCATTGGCCCCATGCACTTGATTCATACAAAATTATTGGAAGTACAATGGTTCTTATTAGGCGCAGCTTCAACTCTAGAGCCATGTTGCTTCTGCGACCTATTAGAGGCTGTAGGTTTTGCCTTGCGGCTTCACCCAGGTTTAGTCGTGTTGTGATGTGTTGTCTGAAAGTGAGTTTGCTATCTAGGGTTACCCCTAGATATTTTGCCTCGTCTGCCCATGGTATCTGTGTGTCGTTTAGTATTTACGTGTCCTGTGGGTTTGGTACGTCGTCTAGTGAAGAGGACAGCTTGGTATTTCTCTGCGTTTATTTCTACTTTCCTGCTATTGAACCAGGTTACTAGTGTGTCGATTTGTTAATATCCCAACAATATTGGCAAACCTTCTGAGAGAGGAGGGTACCAAACCCCATTCCTACCCATTGCTTACGCGCCTGGTTTCTCATTGAATAGATCATAAAACATCTCCAGGATGATAATCTGTCTATGATCATTAGCAGGCAGCAGAGGCTGTGATTTTTTTGCATTATAACGCGTACATCGTCTAGCTAGAAATAGGAAATAACAGTAGCAAATGTAGCAGGTCTTCAGAATTATTATCTTTCAGAAATTCGGAATTAATTATGAATCAGATTAGTAACAGAAAGATGCATTGCTATGGAATGAGCTGGAATAAATCAGTGTCGTTATGTCGACATGATATATTCAGAAGATCGAGAGGAATTTATTGATACATGCAATGGTATAATAATTAGTAAATTGCCGCTAAGTGTGGTCTATGATAATAATAATATATCATTTGGACAAGAACTGTGGGTTAGTAAATGAATTAATTGATTCGAATCAGAAGAATTCACGTGTCTTAATTTTATTCTTATTCAACAAAAGGATTTGCATTACTCAATGAAAATCACTGAAGAACAGAATTTAGATTTCCATTGCCTTCTTATAGTATATCAAATTCGACTAATGGTGTTGATTTTTTCGAATATTTCTAAATATTTCATTATCACCACTATCACCAGTTATGAATGGTTTCTCATCGACTAACTGTTCACAAAATGACAAGGTCCGGAAACTGCCACTTTATATGAAAAAGTCGCTTGCTACAGGGATTTTCAGGATCAGGGTTAATTAAACGTTTTTGGCAAACTAAGCAATAGATGAATCTGTAAATTTGATGGTATGTGTAAATCGATATGATCTACACGTCTAAAATATTTGGAACGATGTGGCGTTGCCGCTTCTACTAGAAAGTATCAGCAACTTTGATATTTCAAACGGAATACCCTATATTTCATTGCATTTTCAGATTCTCCCAGAAGAGCCATCATCAATGCATCACACTTGGGGGTCTAGCGGTAATGATACAAAGATATTGGGTGTTCAAATTCGTGATTTTCCAATTTTAGGATTTTTTTGTGTCGGATCTATTTATTATTGGTCGAAACAGTTAACATGTCCCTATATTTACTTTCGAATATTCTATCTACTGACATTTAATTGGAACAAATACAGGGTGGTTCACGATTCAGAGTTTTGATGATCTAGTATCAGTTCCAATTAAATATCAGTAGATAGTGAATCATAAGTGAAGATAGGGAGATGAGAGCCGTTTTGACCGATGAGAAGGTTCGACAAAATCCTAAAGTTTAAAAGTCTCGATTTTGAACACCCTATATCTCTGTTATCATTTCCGCTAGATCTCAAGATACATCGACCAAAGCAACTCCTCCGAGACAATCTAAAAATGCAATGGAATACAGGGTGTTCCATTTGAAAAATCAAAGTTGCTGCTACTTTCTGATAGAAGTGGCAACGCCGCATCTTTTAAAATATTTCAGGTGTGTAGATCATGTCAATTTATACATACTATTAAATTTACAGATTCACCACAATAATTATGAGGTGGTATACACAGCAAGAATAATTTTCCAAGAATTATAATTAGTATACTTAAGCTTAATATTTTTCCACTGCAAAAACAAATTACAGGAAGGTAAAAACACATTTGAATTAACTTTATCACTATAATTTTTCGCTTAAATATTTTCTGCAGACAATAGCGTATATAATTATTGATGAACCTTTCATCAGAAATGCTGAAATGTCAATTAGTTTTTATTTGAACCTATCGTAGGAGATGTATTGAAATAGAATTATAATTACCAGGTGTTTACCTTCCTTTGTCACATAGTATATAATGCTAGGATGAACAGAAAATTTATACCTGAGGAGCAGTATATTTTGACATACCATACCATGAATTTAAGACAGAAGAATATTCATGACTCTTACTCATAGTCATAAAGATTAGTTCCATGATTTTATGTGGACAAGTTTGTGTATTGATAGTGTTGGAAGCGAATTTAATGAAGACTAGTATAAATATATCGTATAAAATCATAATCTCCAATAATCCTTATCCACCGATGTGATAAAATATGCTCGATAATTTATACCATTCCTAATACCCTATACCCGTTACATGAAACCACTTCCTAATGACTTAGAGTCATAAAATACAGATATTGAGTTCAAGTCATGAATGTATTGATATGATATAATGTAATTCTCATCGTTCTCAGAAAATATGATTCGACAGGTGGTGTCTGGTAACTTTGGTACACCGGTACTCTGGAACGACTCGTTATATTCCTTTCAGTCCTGATAAAAATACAATTCAGTATATAGTGTGGAAACTTATATGTTAAAAAAATAAAATACGTGTATCTTTATAACAGATATTCATTGTGTAAACTCTGAACAGGTCGTTGATTATTCCAGATTTTTTTGGATTTTCTCTCCTCGTTTCTATAAAATAAAAATATGTTTATTTTTTCAATATTATGTGTAGTGAGGAGGAATCAGATGATTTGCCCTAAAATGTTACTGCGTTTAAAGAATTTTGAATACTAGAATCATTGTGAAATGATAGAGTCCACCTTCACCTGACCATCAATTTATACAGATGGTGTTAGAACGTCCATATAACTAGGTGAAGAGGAAAGAGGGACCAATGGATGGAAGTTTAACATCGCCTCCACTTGTGTGAGCACTATGTAAAATTGCTCAAACGTTAGCGATGAATTGTTAAATACCCTTTTCGAATGAAATTCGCAAGATTTTATCCCAGCTTCTCATAATCCTCCAAAATTTGGTGAATTTGCAGGAATACATTTCAAATTTATTCTTTCATTCAAACATACAAACTAAAATGACTCACTTTCTTTTTCCGAAAATTTGACGAATGTGTCTAACTCTTTAGTCCCAATGAATGTTGATCCATTATCTGAATAAATGGTGTTGGGTTTACCACTACGAGATACAAATCTCCTCAAGGTTCCAAGAAACGCCTCAGTTGACAAACTTGTTACCAATTTAAAGTGTATTGCTTTGGTGGAGAAACACACAAACAGACATATATAACATCTTTGAACTCCGACCAATGGATTTAAAATAATTTTCCCATGAGAGAGTATAGTGTGGTTCTGGTGGGAATGGTATGGTACCAGATATGCTATATCAGGCATACTGAGTTTCGCCCTTCTAGAGAAAATACAGTGTTGAATTTTGGTGGCGTTGAATTCAACTATTTAGGTTAATGATTCCCCAGGCTGTAATTCCCGCAAGATCTTTATTGACAGCGTAAGTTCAGTTAGTTTCCTGGGAAGAAATGGGTACTCTTATAGAAGATAAAGCAGAATGCAGAGTACTATCGGGAGGAACGCAAGCGGTGGAGGGGTGGGGAGTTTCTGGACATCAATTATATGAGTACGAATGCAGAGATATTTAGCTAGTTATGAAAGATTTTAGCTTTAAAACCTAATAGTCCTGAGCTACTGGGCGAGGTAAACAACAACTGATGTAAAATATTCCATGCAATTATGTCTGTCTGTCTGCCTCTTCCATTCCGGATCGGTTGGAATGTAGTGACTTTAGCGACACTGGCTAATTGAGTACCTAGCGAAACGGTCTGTATCTATCTGCCTGATATGATGAATTGTCACTTTCCTATCTTGAAGCGCGTTTTACATAATGACGAAGGTGCGGCTTTGTAGCGAATCGTTTGTGTTGGTCTATATGACATAGTCAGATTAGTCTCAACATAGATGAGAAAATAGTGTTCGTATACCACTGATAAGTCGTAAAAACGCGAGATACTTGCGGCATAACATTTTTGTGGTCCATGCAAAAACGCTCAAGCGATACCTATAGGTACTTAAGTATATATGTAGTAATACCGAAGCATCATGACATCATGTGTTGTTTCAATACTCTAAGTACAACACTCCGAATCCGACTCTTTTTCAACAACCTCCATTTTCCAAATGAACTTATCGATTTACTCGCAGTTGTAACGACCTTTATTTCTAGGGCCCTTACTTTGGCGCTTGTTCGGACAGAGACTACTCTAGTATTTGACTAGGAGGGGTCTCGGGCGCCAGATTGTTTATGAGGTGGTTCACTCCACCTGCTCAGCACAAAGCTATTTTTGTACAGGGGCCCAAAGTAGCAACATTGGAGACAGGTATATCTACCTCGGTACCTATAGTCAGAGATTCATCAAGTCAAGTAGCTTGATATTTTAACAAACTTCTTGACTTGACTTGAAAATCAAGCTCGTGGCAAATTACGTACTTGACTTGACTTGAATTTGAGATATTTATTACTTGACTTGAAATCAAGCTACTTGATAATACTTGATATTGATACGCACGAGTCGCACGGCGTATATTTCTGCAAGCTCGCTCACGCTTAGACAAAATACGGGGGTTCCCCGAGATCCGAGCTGACTGAATTGATGGCGCAGTCAGTCTTACGATGCCATTTTCATTTCATCAGTTATATACAGGGTGACTCACGGTCGATGGTAGGTTAGACGTTCACGATTATGATAGGAACGCAACGCATTCATCGATACATCACACTCGGGGTATAGCGGAAATGATTATGGAGATATAGAGTGCGAAAAATCGAGATTTTTCAACTTCAGGAATTTTTTGTGAATGCGAAATTTTCAGAAAAATCCCGCGTCGCGTTCTCCATGAACGTCTGACCTATAACATCGACCGTGAGTCACGCTGTATAGATACACAATAAAACTGCTGAAAATCAAGTAGCTTGATAGAACTACTTGATTTTTCAAGTACTTGATAAATAATTACTTGACTTGACTTGACATTGAAAAACTTTCGCTTGACTTGAACTTGACTTGATTTCAAGTCAAGTCAAGTCAAGTAGCTTGAATATCAAGTCAAGCCGTGAATCTCTGCCTATAGTATGAACCAGGGGTCAATGTTATTGAATCGACCTGGAACCTGGAATCAAGAAGCTACGGGAACGTAGGCTTCAATTACAAACCCTGGGTTTAGCCTGGAATACTGGTTGCTATTTTTAGTCTGGATAATTACACGAATAAAAGCAAATATCTTTCGGGTCTCTGATATTTTCAGGTTAGGTCTGGAAAATTATTCATTCAACCTATTTCACTAAGTCTACACATTCTTATTTATCTTTCCTTTCCCTTCGATTTTCTGATTTTTCAATATCGGAATTGTAGTGAGGTTAGTTATATTTCTCTATCCCCGTCAAAATGTCATCAACCACCGGCCACAGCCTGACAGGATACCAAGCACAGGGGCACGACTGCACAGGGCAGAATTTCTCCTGGAAAGGAGAAGAAGAAGGATTGACAACTGACTATGTCAGTGTCAGCCGTCACCGTCAATCAATAATAATAATCAGCAATTTGACAAATGAAAATATTGAAAATCATTAAATGAATTACTGGACCAATTCGGAACTGAGAACAATGACAACAGAGAAAAAAACTATGGAATATGCAATCACAAAAAAACCGTTTATTCGCAAATACAAATTTCTGGAGTCGCTACACAGGTCGGGTGAGTATCGGTATGAAAAACAACAGGAATGAAATGAATCTATAAACAGGATGAATAATAATGGTGAGAAATATTTTACAAACTTACATGTGCAACACGAAATCACTATAGATTAATACTTTGCAACTAGGTACTAGGTTGATGAAGAGCATTAAGAGATCAGTAAGAGAACCAGGAGAGACACAGGTGAAGAGTAGAGTGTCTTGGGTAGATAAATGATAAAGACTAGTAGAGCAGAGACGGTAGAGTAGAGAGCGATCCCTCAGCTGTCTTCAGTATTTATATTCCCCATCGACCTCGGTACAAGGACAGCTCGATCCTAGATTCTTATTGGTCGGAATCCTCAACTATGCCTGCAGGAACTAGCATCCAAAAGCACATGTTCTTAAACTCACAAAATGCGGAAAATTTTATATTTGACCTTAAAAAGGCACAGGAACAGAATCTAGTACCCTTGCTAATGCTACTGAATAAATTTGTCTGGAAAATATCCAATAACAAAAAAGTTATGACCAGATAAACATCCATCATTTCAACTGATAAATAATTCATCCAAATTTCATATCATAAGCAAAAGATTGAAAAAAATATTGAAGTCATTAGGGTTTTAATGATGTTAATCAGAGTTTACCGTATCAGGAAAAACTTTGGACAGTGAGGAATCAATAAATTACTAAGTTCTCTCAAGTTTTCATGTTATTTCAAGCTTTCGAATTAGTGAAATTCAACTAGAATCAGTCTCAGGTACTTAGATATCAATCAAAACCAGTCTAGTAATGAAGCTGGTCAGAAACACTTTATTACACAGTTTCCAGTTTCTGGTAATTCATCACAAATGTAATATTATATAGACTTCAAGGACAGCTTCAATGATGAAATAAAATCATCAGAACGAAACTTGAACACTCGAACAGGGTGTACTCAACAACTTTATAACTAAATATGGGAAACTTCTACAATGCTTCCAAGAGTTTGTTTTTTCTTCTGATTGAAAGTCACTGGTCAGCTACATTATGATATCTCATCTCGGGACTTCTTGACATCTCTCTTCGCTTCGAAATTCGACGATAATGAATTTCTGCTAGTGTCATGCATTTCTTGAATCTTTTGTTTCGGAAAACAGTGAACACTCATTATTTAGAAGAACTGTTAATATGTTATTTGAACTATTTATATATAACAACATAACCAGGGTGGAATGCAAATAGGGAAATTCATTTTAGGATGAAATTCTCAAACGCAGATATGAATTTGCAAATCCATCTTTAATTGCTAACCAGGATAAGCTTTTCATCTCAAACTCTTTTTCCGGTATCGATGATCTTTCTCATTCTGAGATGACAACATAGGTAGGTATTCGCTATTAGTTCTGTTTCATCAGAAGAATACCTCGTCATCAGTATGAAAATATATATTGTTTGTATCGAGTATATTAATTTTGAAACTAATATTCGACTTTTTGCCTCAAGTTCATCAGAAACCCCATGATTCCAAAAGCTCTTCTATAGCCATGTCATCGATGCTGCCAAAATTCCTCTGAACAATACATACTTTTATTACTAACATCGATAGCATTTTTCCACTCAGATAATTATACACACATAGGTATATTTTATATTTATCCATAATCAATTATATTAAAGGAGTGGAGATATTCAGTAAAACCCCATGGAATATTCAGAAATTAAATTCAAACTAGTAGAAGGTATTTGAGGGAGCTATTTTGGCAACATTGGCGATGCCACAATCAGTAAGATACTTCCCAGTAATGACGGTAGCTGAGCCGTTGATTGGTTCTCTTAAAATTCGTGACATACTGTGCTTCTCTTGAAGTCTGCTGAACCGACAAAGCATATTTCATGAACTACCCTAACGGCCATTAAAATGACCAAGACGCTTTTGAGACAATGGCCACTTGAGGAAACCCTGTTCGCGATATATTTATTGGTTTAAAATATATAGTCGACCACAGTTCGATCGAAGACGAGTACCTATATAGGAGGAATTAAACCAGGTCACTTCCGCAAAATCATGCATTTTTTACAGGGCGATTTACGTATGCCACACATAAGAAGTTTCCCAACTTGCAGTTGCATTAGATACACCTACTATTTTATGACACCATAATATGAACAATAAATGAATTCGTGAATCACACTCCAGCCTTCCATATACAATACTCAAAGCACAAACGAGTGTTTTTTCAGTGTAGTTATCACGGAAAAAAAGTAATTGTTGAATCAAGCAAAATTTAATTGGATGAAGCAAATAAAAGTGTCATATATGCACGACAAAATATAATCTTGAAATGAGTAAATCTATATCTTGTTTCAAAGCGAATTTGAAGTTTGAATTGAGTAAATATGTCTAGAATGAACTCTGGATCTTATTCAATCAAGCACATCCATGAATTTTTCATGGAGAGATATCGAATTGGCTAAAACAATCATTTTGTTTGATTCAAAATAACAAGATATTGATTCAATCAAATATTTAGTTGATTCAATGAATTATTTGGTTGATTCAATGAAATATTTGGGGAATTCAAAGAATTATTTGGTTGATTCAATGAAATATTTGGTTAATTCAAAGAAATATTTTGTTGATTCAATGAAATATTTCGTTGATTCAAGAGAAATTGTATTTTAATTCGGCAAATTGTTTTGTTGAATCAAATTCAGTATTAATTCGGGAGTTTTCTTAATTTTCACATCGAAAGAATAAACTAAACTAGGAAACTAGTCGACTTCTAGCATAGATCTCCAGTATTCTCTTCCTTCAGCTGATGCAAAACTATTTCGGATTGCTATTCATCCTAAGTTCGATTTATCCAGCTGATATTTCAAAGACGAAGCATCTGGCCTCACGTATATAATGAATTCGAGGCATGCATAGACGAGGCGAAATGATCGCCATCTAGAGACAAAAATGGAACTTGATGTAGAATGAACAATATATTTCATTGATATTACATATTTCGTTGCTTTATTCAAGCAAATGATCCGTTCGAAACGAGTTCATTGCTACATCGGAATAAGAAAACTTGTATGTTGTTTCAAAGACATATTCTCATCAAAAAGATCATTATTTAATCAAATCAACAAAATATTTATAGTTGAAACAACATCGACATTATTTTGGATCGACATAATTTGTTCTTGAGAAAACCATATATTTTGTTGATGGAATTGATATTATACTGTTGATCCAATTAGACTACATTCTTGATTTGAACAAGATGCTTTCATGAAATAATCATGTGTCTAGTTGATTCAACAAAAAATTGCTCAGTCCAACAAAACTAATTCAAGCATAAATAATTGGTTGATGCAACCAATCCTTTTTTTTCCGTTTAGAAGTGTGAAATCAACAATACATTTTTCTCAGTGTATACGGTGGTATTCAAGATAAGGAATTTTGAACCATGAATCTGGCTAGTTGGGTGATCTGTAGCAAAAGCAGAAGGTCTCTTGACAAAAAAGAGGCATTTCTTCCGAGGTAGCACATCAAATTGGCTGAATCCGGACTTTATATCGGGCCGATATGGATATATTGTGAATGTTAATTTAATATTGGTCCAATATGAGAGTATATTGAATCATAATATTGATGGAATATTGGTTTAACCTGGGATAAATGTGGTCTGTCAGCAACAATATTGAAGCAATATTGGCTGGAAAGTTCGTTTACAATATGTGGAAAAACATAAATAATAAATATTATTATATTATACATATTGTTTCTAACAATTATAACCAATATTGCGAAGTGAACATTCTCCACACGTCGATTCTGAAACGCGGTTATGCAATATTGAATATTCGAGTTCGTGTTCAAAAATGAATATCTATATCGCTCTTTCAGAAATTTTCTTTATCTTTCTTTCAAACAGTGTTGCCAATACCATTCGCCACGGCTTTCTTATTAGAGAAGGCTGTGCTGTGGTTATGGCGAAGGAGTTGCAATACTTATAAAACCAAGAACTAGACCAAGTGAACATTATAATCTCGGCTCTGAAGACACTAGCTACTAGTGTCAGATTAATTAGCGGTCGGTCAGTCGACTCTGTCGATTAAATTGGTGCCAGTAACACAGAGTGAGCTTGTTACGACGTTTCTGGTCGACTTGGCACGATCAGTGTCAATTAGTACCAACTTTACTCCTATAACAATTGCCTTTGTATTGCGCTTTTTTCTATTGGCTCAATCCGCGTCGGAACAGGCGATTACCGCCGGATCAGAGAGCCGGTCATTAGTGTCCGACAAGGGACCCGGATTTTTTCGTGCTAAATTTGGCGGATCACGTGACCAGAACGACTGGCGAAGCCGGTGATTACTGATTATAGTAGGACGAGTTTACAGAATCTTGTGGTTTATACAGGATGGCCCTTAACACGTTTAACTGCCAAGAAGCCCAAACGTTGGGTTTCACATGCTTGGTTAAAACGGTTCCGAAACCCTAACGCTGGCTCTCAAGATATATTTGCACTTCATTCGATGAAGTTCGACGAGTGGGTTTCAGAAAGCATTAAAGCACAATATAGAGCGATATTACGAGGGGCCTGGTAGACCTAAATAGTCAAAGAGCCTACGTATTTTTGTTTTTCTCTTGTGGATATGAAAGTGATAAAATTATAGTATCAAAAAGCTGATTCATACAAGTATTTCATAAACGAACACACATACAAATACAAAGACATAAAATGGAATATGCTTTCTGGAATTGGAATAAAATAATTTATTCACAATTTGTACGCTTTGTGTCCTTCAAAAAAACATGGCAAACAAAAAAAAGCTCACACTGTTGACATTTGCATCTTGATTTTGACGTCCTCAGTTGGGCTACTTTTCTTCCTTCTTCCTGCTATTCATCAAGTGTGAACAATAACAACCTTGACTGCGCATGACACTGTGGCATGACGGAGTCTTGTTTTGCATGAAACCCTCATATGGGTTTCGTGGCCTTCAACTACTTCAGGCTCCGGAACCCAAACGTTGAGTTTCATTTTCAAATCACTTTTTCTTCGATTATTTCCATTTTTATGATAAGTATCATACATGAATTACATAAGTACAACCAAATAATCGATTTACATTAAGTTTCGTGTTTGGGTCCCATGGACCAAAACTTCAAATGTATTGTGGGCAGTTAACGTGCTAAGTAATTGTGATTGTATACATGAGTTCATGAGAATGATAGATTTTTGATTTCCAATAACGATCTGGGCAGCTCATAAGGGACATATACTCACAGGGTATAGATGTTAAATTTGCATGCATAATTTATTTTTCGCAATTATTGCTTCGAAGTTTTTAGACATGAATAAATGATAAGTAGTTTCTAAATGAGGAGTTTTTGAGCATGTAAATTCGTACTTTTCTATCTACTACAATGTATTCTCATTTTGCACCCTCTTTTGTGACATTAATGCACTTAGAGGATGCTAATTATGGATTGACAAATGAAATGTTGGTTATTCATATGTTATCTCCATCATTAATAAATTCTTGGTGGTTTTGGTAATGGTAATTTCTGAATCCTGAACAGTGCTGGTAAACTCGTCAGCAAAATGTTATGAACCTTATAGATGAAAACCAATAAATCAGATTGCACTTGAATGTTAAATGTTGCAAAATTGTTCTTGACGTAGGTATATGGAAGAATAAAATATTGAAAACTTCTATCATTTCTGCTTAGTATCATAGTCATTAAGTATTCAACTCAAATCGGTATGGAAAGTTCTGCGAAAAATAAAATGTGCATTAATCATCAATTATAATTAAATTGACAAAGAAGGCATTTCAATCTAATAAAGCAATTTCAATAAATAATAAATCATTAATCAATTATTCTTCCCAATATGCATTCTACTTGTCGGCATGATGAAAACATCGAAGTATAAGCCACATCTTCCACACCGCTACATGAGAGAGATGTTTAGTTATTTTAGTATACCTAGTTAGTGAAATGTATAAACAAGGTGATTCTGAAATAGGTGGTCAAACTTTGGGAGCATATAGAGTGGGTGAAATAGTTACGAAAACCTCCGTAACATTTTTTTCTGAAGTGGCCCCCAAGAAAGATACAGCCCCTCAAAGGGTGGCCTCGAAGAATGATTTTGTATTATTATCTCCAACACCTTGTATAATGAAAATCTGAAATTTCGTCCATCCACTTACTTCACTTACTTCAGTGCCAGTTCGAATGGAGTTAAAATCACCTCAAAATTAAATACAGGGGTGTGTCAAAATAGGGAGGTAGGTGGTAAAAATAACCCCAACTTTTTCGTTCATCGCAATTTCGGATATTTGTCATGAAATTATGAAATCTCAGGGCTATTTACATAAAAAAGGTGCACATGTTGCATCTCGATAAAATGAACTATTAGCGAATAAAATTTATTTTTTCAAGATTTCATTTAAATTGCGATTTTGGTGTGTACTTAAGTTTAATTATCTAGGTCAAATCTCGCAACTGAATTTTTACCTACTTCTAATCGTCTGATCAACTTAGAATCTGGTAAATGACAGTTGACAATGCGTTATGGCAGCTCCAATGTGGCTGGCCAGATTTGTGATTCGATTCAAAATTGGTATGTGAGGGTTTTTGGGGTTGGAAATTTAGAATTCGTTGTCGGAATTCATGAAATCAAAATAGCCGACTAGTTTTGTTATTATGAACTGATCCTATTAAGAATAAAATAAAAAATATTGTTGAAAACAAGCTTTCATTACTTCAACTATTGAAATGAAAAATTGCAATTTAAATGAAATCTTGGAAAAATGAATTTTATTCGCTAATGGTTCATTTTATCGAGATTCAACAAGAGCTCCTTTTCTATGTTAATAGCCCTGAGATTTCAGAATTTCATGTAAAATAACTGAAATTGCGATGAACAAAAAAGTTGGGGTTAATTTTATCCCCTACCTCCCTATTTTGACACACCTCTGTATTTGATTTTGAGGTCATTTCAACTCCATTCGAACCGGCACTGAATAGTTAGTGGATAAAAAAAATTTCAGATTCTCATCATACAAGGTGTTGGAGATAATGATAGAAAATCATTTTCCGAGGCCCCCCTTTGAGGGGCTGTATCTTTCTTGAGGGGCACTTCAGAAAAAAATGTTACAAAGGTTTTCGTAATTATTTCACTCACTCTATATACTCCCAAAGTTTGACCACCTATTTTAGAATCACCTTGTATAACCACCTATACTGACCTATATAGGATACATCTGCAATGGTTTATTCTCTCGAAATTGGGTATCCCCTAATCAAAAATAAGTTCACTATTACTGGTACCCAATTTAATTGTGCATAAGATTAATTTTAACATTCACTGAAGAAAATAGAACCTAGGTATTAAATACCAAACGTTTGGTGAAATAGGCACCAGTCACTATATTCATCAAAATATACCACGAAAAAGTAATTTAATACTGAACTATATCAAATATTACTACTACAAAACTGTATCCTACTATTCTACATATTATAAGTATCATATTATTTTGTAGTATGGTATTATCTGATGAATGTATAGTGACTGTCGCCTATTTTACTGATCGTTCCGTATTAACTACCTACTATTTCTCTGAGTGTAGATGGAAGAAATATAACAAGTTATATTAAAAACAATTGAATGTTTGAAATTTGTATTTGTGTTTTAAACCATATATTTATGGTCGTAGGAAAAATAGTGTACATAACTGCATAAATCTTTGTAAAGTGTATTTCATGCACTCGTTACATTTCTGCACTCGACGCTATAGGCGGAATATGTCACTTTCCACACAAGTTATGTAATATACCAATACCAACTTCGATCCCCGCTTCCTTATTTCCTCCGATACTGAAGTATCTCAGGAACTTGTACAGCTTGGCTTGAAAAAAAAACCTTCTTCTTTACCTTGGTATACAGGGTATGTACAAGGTATGGACAAGCTTACACTATCTCTATATCGAGAATCAGTCGGGAGGAATACAGGAAAATATGCATGCATAATTTTACAATACATCACATTTGGGGTCTATCGGTATATAGGTGGTTCAAAATCGAGATTTTTCAACTTTAGGATTTGTTTGTGTCGAAACTATTTATTATCGGCCGAAACGGCTCACATGTTCCTACCTCAACTCTTGATTTACCATTTACTGATATTTAATCGGAACGGATACAGAGTGATCAGAATTCTGAATCTTGAACCACCCTGTATCTGTTCCTATTAAATATCAGTAAATAGTGAATCAAAAGTTGAGACAGGGACATGCGAGCCGTTTTGACCGATAAAATATAATTATAAATTTATTTAAATATAAATTTGTGTCATTTAATGGTCGGGCTCATATTTCACAAGGCCCACGTGCCCTTGAATTACGGAAAGGTGATAATTAAACTTTGAAAAATCAAACTAAAAGTTTGATGAGGTATCAATATTAACCTGTTGAGGAGAAGGAATCACATGTGATTCCTGAAAATAACTGACTACAAAAGCATTCTGTTCGAATATCAGTTTCCGCGTATTAGTTGTCAATTAATAGCATTTCGTTTTTTTTTTCAGCTTCAGAGCATGTTTGAAGAGGGTCCGAACTAGCGATGCCAATTTGGTGGGTAAGCTGTTTTTCAACGTCGTTCAAACGAAATGCTTCGTCCTCAAGCCAAAAAGGAAGTGTATGAGGACTTCGTGGTGGGGAAAGTGCGAGAAATATAAAACATTCAAACAAGCGATTCTCAGAGATAATTTGCCATATTAATCTAGAGCAATACTATACAGGGTGTTTCAGACTCAGATGTACATACGATACTTGCAGATAGGGGACACTTTGACGGTTTCAAATCATCCCCCATTGATATGTCTACCGACTTTTATAACTGCGATATAGGACATTATCTTGATTTTGTCAAAATTTTCATCTGGTCAAAATTTTTCAGCCACTTCGTATAATCTATTCATACTTGGTAGAAATATGCCTCTTATTTTACAAATCAAAATAAATGAAAATCGGGATCAGAATCCAGGTCCATCTTGAGGAAAAACAGGGAACTTATTTTATTTCAAAAACAACACTCTAATGTATAGCAACATTTTGTGGATTCGTTTCGATATTTGGATATATAGCGGGAAATGATAAATAAAGTGACCTACTTTTTACGAGCGCTCATCCAGTTTGACAGATGGTTTATTATTATATTTCGAAGTATTCAGCTTCATTTCGAGGCATTTTGATTGAACTCGTGATTCAAAATCAAATTTTGATACAAAAAAATAACAGTCTTCAAAGTTTAACATCATTAGAGTCAAATTAGGTGAACTAATAATACATTTTTTCGTTTGACAGAATAACTTGTCAATGATTTTAGAAATTTTCGAGGACTCATTTCATTCTTCACTATTTATTCATAAGCTGCAGTAAATTAGGCAGTGTAAATTTTTTTTTAATTCTGACAAATTTATAATCACTAGTGTGATATTATTGGTGACATTGGAGTTATCTTGAAGCATAATTATGAACACTTTGAAATGTAACAACCCAATATACAAGCACCAACAATTATCTTAAATTTACCAATAATATCTATCACACTATCGATTATGAACTGTCAGAATATCAGAATTTCGAGCTCATGAATTAATAGTGTATTATAAAATGCCCCTCCAAAAGTATCTGAAATCACAGAAAAGGTATTTTGTCAAACGAACGAATGTATCGATGGTTCACCTAATTTGACTCTGATGATGTTGAACTCAGATGACTATTATTTTTCTGCGAAATGATTGGATTTTGAATTACGAGTTCAATAAGAATGCCTCAAAATGGAGTAGAGTATTTCAGAAAATAACAATAAATTATCTGTTAAATCGGATGCGCGCTCGTAAAGAATATATCACCCCATTCGTTTTTTCCTGCTCTTTGCAAATATCGAAATAGATCTACAAAATTTTGCCATTCACAGTGTTGTTCTTTATATAAAAGAAGTTTTCTAATTTTCCTCAAGACGGACCTGGATTCTGATCCCGATCTCCATTCAGTGTTGATGGGTAATATGAGTGAAATATTTCTACCAAGTATGGATAGATTATACGAAGTGGTTCGAAAGTTATAATCAGATGAAGATTTGCCAAAATCCAGATTACGTCTTGTATCTCAGTTATTAATGACGGTAGACACATCAATGGGGAGTGATTTGGAACCATGTTTGGAACCATCATAGTGTCCTCTATATCTACTGGTATAGTTTGATAGGGTGATTAACTTCCCTGTATCTTTCTTATAATCAAATTCTGAGTATAAGTCCTTTGGGATATTTCTTAATATTGATTTTGAATCATTGCAAATTGACTAGAATCATTTTTCACCACTTCTGGTTTCACCGGAAATGCCCCAAACTTCAAGATTTCAAAGAAACATTCACTAACGAATTATTTAAAATTCGGAGAGAAATTGTCAGTCAATGCATGGGCATTTGAATTATAATTATTTTTGCCAATATCTTCGTAATGGTTCGAGAAATTGTCGAATATCTTCGGAACCGATCATTATTTCCACATTCTTCAGGGTGAGTCGGGACGAACGCACCAAACTCCAGGTGTGTATTGTACACGTGAAAATAAATAGAAAAAACCCATATGTTCTGATACAATTCTCATTTGTTTTCATTTCAAATTTGAATAGATTTGTGACATTTTATAAGACTTCAATTGTACAAACTCGATTGTTTGATCTGTGTTCGTGTCAGTGTCAGTGTGTGTTTGACGAGTTTATTTTCGATTACTCACGATTAAAGTCATATGAAATGCCACACATCTATTCAAATTTAGAATGAAAACAAATGAGAATCGTATTAGAACATATTGGTTTATTCAAATTATTTATACCTGTACAATACACACCTGAAGTTTGGTGCGTTCCTTCCGACTCATCCAGTATTTATTGATATTATATTATGATTTATACTGGGTTGTATGACAGCTACTAAGACATGGGCGAAAATATCTTCCATTTGTTTCAATAAGTGTGACTGCAAAGGGAAATGACCTGTTCGATGACTTCTCAGTCACACTCATGGATTTTTCGTCCATATCTACATCGTTGAATTCGTATTGGAAACCCATAACCAACTGAGAATGATGATGAATGAATGAGTTTCAAGAAGCAATAGCTATGTTATTTTCGAATGTAAATATTATGAAATCACCCTTAATTTTTTTTAATATGACGAACGATTCCTGAGATGTTTTACTATTTCCTACTTTTGATCAATTCTGTATACTCCTCCAACAAACCCGCCATTGTTGAAATCTTCATGATGATACCTCAACGGAAATAGAAGAATTCTCTATATTCAGAAATATACAGGACGTTCAAAAAACCATGCACCCGGTATGATATCGATTGAGGAAATCGTATTGTGATACAAAGTATTTCTGAAATGCATAAAAACTTTCTAATATTTTCATTGAAAAATTCTATTTCTGGAACGGGGAAACCCCGGTAGTTTACATTTCTACGTATTCAAGGCACACTGCCTTCCCCTACACTGTATACATTTATATTTATTTATTGAATTCGAATTGAATTGTGATTTATGCTGATGTTGTTTTAGTTGTTTTTATTTATGTAATTATAGATGAATTTTATTTTTGTATATAGGTATACGTAAATTATTATACACGATTTTGTGGAATAATTGTAAAATACTACGATCGATACGACTTGGCAGGGTGGTTCATGTATTATATCAATTAACAAACAGTTGAACCACCCTGATATAATTTATCCTAGATTCGGATAAGCCTCATTGATTTATTTTAGCTCTCTAAGGAGTTTTAACAATTTCGGTTATACTAATATATACATAATGTGTTCCAGGTAAAACTTTTAACGAGATGTGGTCACATTATGGTCATACAATGACATTTAACGGTATTAGCAAGAAAAAAATGTATATTATGTTGTATGAAACTCGGCCATCTATACTTATAATTCATTAGATACTTTAGTGAACTCAAACTCTCTATTTTGTGCCAAATAAGCTACACAATTTCGAACTGTAGGTATTAATACTTGAGACAATATTGAAGTGACTGATCGTTATGGCCAATCCTAAGATTGATTGAGTAGTTATTCATACACCAAAGTAGTAAAGAATATCATTATCACAGGGACCAAGACTATATACCAAAAGCTTCAGCCGAGGGTTGAAAGGTCCCGTGGTAATAAGATGTTTTACTAACAAGGTGTATATTACAGTTTTTTCACCACTAGCAATATATTTCAATCATCATCGTTCTGTGAAACTGAAATATGGACCTATTGTCACTATAAAAGCACTTATCATCAATTATAATTAAAATATAATAGCCATTACTATGACAGCTTATGTCAAGTTGTTATTGATAAAAATCATATACGTATTAATAAACAATACGGATCATAACGGGTGCCAGGATGAAGCCAGAAATATGAAACAAATGAATATCCATAAGGATTTGGTGGCTTGATACGCATGCGCCATGAGCTATTATAGTAGTCATCAAAGACATGCGTTTCGGTGGACAATGACGTTAACTAGCCTTTCAATCAAAGCAGTATGTGTCTGATCGTATCTCACTTTTCCTTATGGATAGTCATTTGTCTTCAAGAATCGGCTTCATGTTTCGCTATGGAAACAGATAGAGATTATCCGTATTGATTATTAATACGTATATGATAAAAATACGTACTAGATTCGAGTAATTATACGGAGGTGACTATGTCATTATTGACTATAGTGGTTGATAAAATGACGAAAATTACCTTGGTAGTAGAAACACAATTGGTAGGTTCTACAGCTAGTGGTGGAAAAACATGATTATGTGTATTTAAATTCTAAGATTATGATGATCATATCGGATGAATACTTAAATAGTTACTACAGAGTTATAGAATATATACTTAGATCTCGGGAACAAATTTTCTGTCATTAAAAGTTCATAGCATTATATAGCAAATGCCTATTTCCTCTGTATAAATATTTTCCATTCCAGTTGAAACTCCATACTATTATGTACAGGGTGTCTCGTGACTCGATGCCCATAGCTCAAACCGTATTCCTCGAACAATTTCAAGTCGAAAGTGTTTCATACACCTTTGTCCAAAACTGTATAGTTGAGGAGTTATAAGCATAATGAAGTTTGACTGAGTTTGTAATGAAGCAAAGAGGATATTGAATGAAGTAATGTCATATTTTATCAGTCAAGACTATTTTGATTACATACCCAAATTCATCAAGGTTTCGTTGAGAATGTCTCCCCGCTGCTTCACAACACATTCTTGCTCGTCTAATTATTGAAAACGTTGCTCTCTGAAGAGTATCTGGGTCGTTTCTGATGGATTCCTATCTACTTCAATGTATTCTCTAGAGGCGCCCTCTTTTTTGACATTAATGCACTTAGAGGAGGCTAATTATACAGGCTGATTTTAAAATGAGTGCATATATTCAAGACATATATATGAGAGAGTCTAACAAAAATTACTAAAATATTTGATTTTTCCTAAGTCTTCACATTAACGAGAAATTTCATTTTGAAAATTGAACATAAAATGCTTCGAAATTCGAGTACGCCACTGGGAAGCAAGTGAAATCTGCGGAATCCTAGGGAATCCACAATTCGTCATTCACTAAAGTCAAAACAAGACAGTGATGCCAGATTGTTTCAGAGACGAATATCCTGATAAAAATTTGTCACAGAATGAACATGAATTGAAATAGGTTATGGAAACTAATAGAGGTGAATGTAATATGTACAGGAGCCTTATTTTTTAAAGTTTACTGAGAGAACTGTGGGGTGATTATCTCCATGGATCACGAGAGACGGAGAGAAACATGAGGGAAATGATAGAACGTGCCCCTTCCTTCAATTCGAAAATAAGGCCCCAGCGGGTAGATACAAAATTAGCACACAATAAATAGG